AGACTATTCCCACCACAGAAACCCAACTGCCCTAGAAAGTCACCTCCATTCTGCAGGGAGAGCCTCCCCTCGACCTGTTTTATAGGGCTCCCCTTTCACTTATTTTCCTCCCCACCTTCCCTTTCCCTTCCCTCTTTAGGCAATATGCCAAAAACAGGCAGTTTCTACCAAGATGGAAGAACGTGTGGTGTTATTATGAATTCTGCAATATATAGATATTTTGCACAACACTCATTCCAAGAAGGAATCTTATTTTGCATTAAACAATAAACTTCTAAGCCTTATACTTAAAACCCACTAAGTGCCATTAGACACCTTCAGAGTGAGATGGACTCTCACCCTTAGTCTCTGTGCCTCGTAATATTGCTCCAGGGGTAGGTACATTAAAGATTTGGGGTGTTCAGACCCCATGGTGACAGGAGCCACAACAGTAAATTTCTAAAACTGATTCTCAACCATGATACCTCCAGGCACAAGTGCTCTGCTAATAAAAATCACAGTTATTCATGCATGTTTTTTTCCAGTTTGTTTAGAAATATGCCTCCAGTCATGTTATTTTTTTTATCCACTGTAATATGTATTTTTAAATGGGGTACCACTAAATTCAGAAAAGTTATGGAGAAATGCCTTGAGCCTCCAAAGGGTGAGACCCACTGATTTAAAGAGTCACAACAGAAAGTATTTATTGTACTAAAATATTAATTACTATTACCAGTCCCCTACAGCACGGGTGCCAAACTCATCTGGCCCTGTGGACTAAATGAGTGGTGTAGGGCTGATCAGCAGGCTGGATCAAACCCACAGCCCCCATCTCCTTCCTCCTCTCCCAGAATACCTGATCTGGCAGTGCTTCAGCTGGCCTGGGACCCACACTGCACGCAGCACAGATCCTGGAGCAGCTGGAATAGACACTGTATGTGGAACAGTGCAGCCAGAATGACAGCCATACTGCATGCAATGCCTGATGAAGCCAGTCTGGGACCCATGCTGCATGTGGTGCCTGCAAGCGCTGCATGCAGCACACACAGGTCCTGGACCAGATGAAGTGGCCGCCATGTGCAGCCCGTGAAACAGAGTAGGCACCACATGTGGAAGTCGGGCCGGTGTGGCCACCACATGTGGCAAGGCTGCTGCTCCAGCCAAACAACACCACATATGGTGCCCCTCTGGCCACTCTGGGATCTGCACTGCATGCAGCATTGGTCCCAGATCAGTTGAGCAGTTGCCAATAAGGCATGCTGGGGTAGGGGAAGTGGGCAGGAAAGGTGGAAGGGGACCATAAGCTGGATCCGCCTGCTGACCCACCCCATGGCACAGGCATGTGCCATGCCTTGTGTGGGTCTGATCAAACCTAGGGACAGCACTGTAGGCCAGACAGTGGAGCTCCATGGGCAGGATCTGGCCCATGGGCCATATGCTTGACACCTCTGCCCTAGGGACTGCAGTATACATAACCTATAATAAACCCTTTCTTTTAACCAGCCACTTACCAGTTCTTTGTGAAGATGTGTTTTCTGAATGTTTTTTAGAGTTTGCCTCTGCATTCTCCTTCCTATGTTTGCCACAAGACATCTGCTCCATGTTGCTTTCTTTGAATATTGCAGGGTTCTTTTGTGGAGGAGTTGAAGCTTTTTCTGGAATATCATAGGTTTCGTTGCTTGGCAGCTCTAAGCCTGGAAGACTTGTTGCCTTGGAGCTGAGGGGACTGATGGGTAAAGCTGAAGAATGGGTCATGGAGGAGAAATCAAAGAGGTCTGGATTTTCCATCATGGAATTATTCACAGCTGGCTCACTGATCAGTTCCTCCAAGTAGGAATCTGGCTCAGCTTTGATGACAGAAACAGGACAGAACATTTTGCACATATGACTGTCCTGCTTAGGTTCAGTTTCTGCTAAACTGTGAAGAACAGCCTGAGCCACAACACTCTCTTGGCCCACACAGTGAGCCTCGGGTAGGTCAATGATGTACTTTGCTGAAGCAACCTCTTTCTTCAAGGCACTCCTATTGCTATGGATTCCCTCTGGCAAATTCTCTCCAGGACTGTCAGCAATTTCTTCACTGCTCTGAATCGCAGAAGTTTTCTGAATTTTCTGAATCTTGT